GGTCCCTGTGCTTTGCTAAGCTTGTTCTAAGTAGGTGCTTTAGACCACTGAGCCATCTCACCAGCCCAGACTTTGTTAATATTATATGCTAATAAATGGAATTAATTCTGTATCTGAATTTAACTCATTTCATAATTAATGTTTACCAGTGTATATAATTAATGTTTATAAATATGTAATTTCTGTTTCAGTTCTTTCTACGCTCAGGTATTTCTAAATTGTGTCTGGCATGAAATCAACTGTATGCCTGGAGGGGAGAATAGCTGAGAAGTAGTTCAGGTGCACAAGTAATGATGCCTGTCTGAAATAGTCCCAGAGAAAGTGGAGTATGTTTTTGAAAAACTGGTAGAGTACATCGCCATTAATATTGGTTGTTTTGAGTTATTTATGTTATATCCACTTTTTATAGGTAAAGGTAGAGCAGGAGGGATAGCTCAGCTGACTAAGTGCCTGCCTGGCAAGCGCAAGAAGCTGGGTTTGATCTTTGGTACTGGGCATGGTGGTGCACACTTCTATCCCAATGCTGGGGAGGCTGAGACAGGAGAATCGCTATGAGTCTGAGCTGCCTAGCAAGACCTTGTGCCAAATATATAAATAAATAACAAAGTTTTTTTAATTAAAAAAAAAGATAATTAAGGATAGAAGGAAATAAAACAACAGTTACTTTCTGATGACATGGAGTAAGTCAGCCTTCCAGTGCTGCCAGTAATCGGCTGCTGTCTCTCTGCCTCCTTAGAAGTGGAATGTCAGTCAGACCAAGATCCGCATTATCTCCACCATCATCTTCATCCTGTTTGGCTGTGTCCTCTTCGTAGCCCTGCCTGCAATCATATTCAAGCACATAGAAGGCTGGAGCGCCCTGGACGCCATTTATTTTGTGGTCATCACCTTGACGACCATTGGATTTGGTGACTACGTAGCAGGTGAGGTCACCCTGGTGCTGCTTGTGCTTGCCCACTCCTGTCCCTTGCATCGACTTCTCATGTGGCTTTGTAAGAGTACACAGTGCCTGTGTGCACTTCGTAGGCTCTGTCCCAAGGGACCACACCTGGGCATCTATAGATGGATTCCTCTGTCCTGGATGCTAGAGATGGAGGTGTCCGGTGGGCCAGGGTCCTCTGAGACTCTGGTAGGAGTCTTCCTTGTTTGGGGGAGGCTCAGCACTAAACCAGCATTAGCTTGC